GTCTACGCGGCCTGCATCCGGGTCCTCGAGCGGCCGGAGGTGCGGGGCGCGGCGTGCGGGTTCAGGGCGCGTCGAGCTGGGCGTCGCTCCACCGGGCCGCGCGTCCCCGCGTGCCTGCCTGGGCCCCCCGCCGTCCTTCGGATCCAGCCTGGACGTCTGCGCCGTCTCTGGCGGCGGTCGGTCGTGCTGCCAAGCCGAGCTCTGCACCCTGGCTGTGTGGCTCACTGCACCCCGAGCATGACCTTGAAGGCCGGGCCAGACGTCGGCCTACCAGTCCCCAGGCTCTCTGCGTCGTCGCAGGCACCTTGGTGCTTCACTGTAGGGAGCAGGCCGCCTTGCAGGGGCGAGGACCTGTTTGCAGAAACTGCGGGGAACCGGATGGAAACGCATTGCATCAAGGAGCTGGAAGGCAGCTTTTATTAACGCCGGCTGCGGGCTGGTGGGACCTGGATCGGCACTGTCGACCCTGGCTTGAAGTAAAACAGCAACTTACACACATTTTTAAGCAGGAAGGAAGTACAAAGTCCACAAAGGGTTATCTATGCCTGGTTGCATATACAGGTTCGTTTCCAGTTGGCTACACGTATTGAGTCATACGTTGTCAGGCAGATGTGTCCCCTACAGGTTTAATCGGAGGGGGTCAGTTTTGAGCTAGTCTGCCAGGGGGACTTGGGGGCATAGTCCTTGAAGTAAGCTAGCAGGACATAGTATTTGTGTAGGCCACTGTGAAGTCGGTGAGACAGGGCCAAGTGGATCTGGCCAGTTACGCAGCTATAGTTTTAAAAACCTGACCTCTAGTTGGTGCTGACATGAAGGAAGGACACTGGCTGAGTTGTACCATGGCCCTCAGCCTTGTCTTGGGTGTGCCAGCCCGGCCTGGGCATCTCTTGAAATCTGGGAAGCCCAGGATGCGCAGGTGCGTGCATCTCTCTCCAGGTCTTCCTCCTTCACCGATGCACACTCGGGGACAGGGAGGGCTGTAGTTGAGGGCCCGCTGAAGAGAAAGACAAAGGAGAGGTTGTTCAGCCCTAACACAGCCCCAGCTGTGCTTGGGACGGTGGAGGCGAAATTGGTTTGTTTAAAATAAAAGCATGGGAAGGGTGAACATGGGCTATGCGCAGCCTTGGAGGAGGTCCGTATCTTCCTGCTCTCGCTCTGCAGCCGCTTCAGCCTGGCAGGTAGTGGAGTTCAGGAAGGAAGCACCTCCCGCGGGGAGCAGGTGGCACAAAAATGGAGAAAAGGGCTGGGGGTGTGATCGGAGCAATGGCTGCCTGATCCACTCTTCTTTCTGTGTATGTGAGGGTGCTGGGTCTTGAACCCAGGGCCTTGAGCATGCTGAGTGTGTTCAGGCACTAGCCCTTCAATCAGGTCTTTCCCAGGTCCCTTCCTAGCCAGGCTTTCAAGGTTTACTTAAAATCACGTCAATCTCCAACCCTTACTCCCCGGTCAGGGCTGGTGCTTTACTTCTCCTTTTGCTTCCAGTCAGGATGAAAGGATTTGGAAAGTGGAGACTTTTTTTTTTTTTTTCCTTTGGGACAGAGTCTTGCTGTGCAGTTCAGGCTGGCCTTGAGCTCACTTTGTAGCCTAGACTGGTCTCGAACTCACAACAATCTTCCTGCCTCAGCCTCTCCAGTGCTGGGATTACAGAGGTACACCACCAAGCCTAGCTCAGAGGAGAGTTTTGATATCGTGAATAGTGTCTCGGCCAGTTTAGGTGATTTTTTTTTTTTGTGAAATAAAGGCGCGAGTGGCTATCTCTTTCTCCTGTTGGTTTCTCTATTCCTTGAGATTTGAGAAATTTAAAAAGTAAGAATATAGGCAAAAGATAATACAAAAATCTCTTCCCTACTCCTAAAGATACTAAAACTGAAGGGTTAAATACTTAACATGGATTGTCCACCCTGTTAAGAGTTTATCCTCTCCAAGGCAAACACCAGGACATGCAGTTGTGTATGCACAGGATATTTGTGGGAGGTGCAAGACTGATGTTTCGAATTCCTGGGCAACAGTAGGGTGCAAAATTAACAGGTAACATAGAGTCAGTGGTAAACCTCAGAGCTAGTTTTAGGCTCCAAAACTTTCCTCCTCCTTGTTGTTGTTATTCTGTATTTAGTACAGGGTCTGCAGGGTCTACAGCGTCTCACTATAGAGATCAGACTCATAGTGATCCTCCTGTTTTCAGCCTCCCAAGTGCTGGGATTACAGGTGTGAGCCACACACAGTTTCAATTTCTGTCTCGGGTGTGCCCTGGGGGTGGGGCCGGCACAGCACACTGGGGATCGAACCCTGGCTGCTGTGTTCTGCCTAACCAGGCCCTTTAGTCTGCTGAACTATCTGGCTGGCCCTCTTGTTATTATTATTGTTATTGCTAATTATTTTTTATTTTCTGTTGATACAAGGTCATGTTTTGCAGCTTGGACTTGTAATCATCCTCCTGTCTGAGCTTCCCCAGCGCTGGGATTACAGGGGTGTGCCTGGTTCTGGGGCCGGCACAGCATGCAGTACCAGGGATCAAACTTGAGTCCTTGCACTTTCCAGGCAGGCGCTTATGCTGCCAAGCTATCTCCGCAGCCCAACTTCAGCTTTCTTTCTTTCTTTTTTTTTTTTGCTCCGAATGCCTTCAGGGCAGGTTTGGCTGGCTTGAGTTGTGGGGATCCCACCACAGCAACCTGAGCCTGACTGCTTTGTTGAAGCAGCCACTTAAAGAACTGAGCTAAGGGGCAGGCCCCGTCAGCTTTCTTTTTGATACTGAGACCCCTGTTTCCTCTCTGGCATACCTTCTCTTGGGGTTCTTCTTTCCCCAATAGGAGAGCCTGCTAACTGGTGATCAGCCTGGGATTCCAGCCCAGGGGCTGTCCCAAGTTCTGGCCCGTGGGAAGAAAGTGCTGAGGGAGGAAGAACTAGGGGCAGAAAGGACAGTGGCTGGGAACAGAGAAGGAAAAGGAGAAGACGTCAGAGAAGGAGGTAAAACCTGCGCTCCTCGGACAGCTAGCCAGCAGCTCTGGGGCTCGATGGGCACCTTGCAGAGACCCAGTGTCCAAACTGTGCCCCAAACCCGCACTGCAGTTAAACCCCAAGATTGAGGTTTTAGCTTAGAGAAAGCAACTGTTGCCCAAAGTTCAGCTGCTGCGTGCGGGCCTGCTGTGGCGTGCATGGCAAGGGTTTGCCAGCTCTGTAGAGATTGCTGTAAAACTCTGCATGATTTTTATGTGCTTTTTCAGAGAATAATTTTATTGGATTTTCTTTTATTATTATTATTATTATTATTATTATTATTATTATTAATGTATTTAGTACAAGGTCTACAGGGTCTCACTCCGCAGCTCCGGCTTGTAGTGGTCCTCCAGCCTCCCAAGTGCTGGGATTACAGGCGAGTGCCACCACGCCTGGTGGATTTTGAAAGAGACCTGTGGCTCAAGAGGATTTGTTTTTCTTTTCCTGGAACCAGGGATTGAACTCAGGCCCTTATTCTTGCCAGGGAAGCGCTTATTCTACTGAGCCATCTCCTGGCCCTCAAAGGGGATGTTGAGCCAGCCTTTGCACCATGAAGTCCCTGATACATCTTTTTTAAAAAATTAATTTTCGTCCCTTAAAACTAAGAGAAAGGGAGGAGAGAGTTCTGCATGAGCCACAAAGCCTACGAAAGCCTTGTCGTAGGCCATGTGCAGAAGCAGGAGAGTTTTCTCAGCCGTGTCTATGAAAGCAGAGCTACCATGGATGTTTCTCTATTTCAAGACAGTCTCATGCGGTTCAGAGCGGCCTCAAACTCATAGCGATCCTCCTGCCTCGGCTTCCCAAGTGCTGGGATGACAGGCGGGCGCCACCTCACCGCGTGTGAATCTTCAGTTTCTATGCTATCAGTAGCTGTGAAATACTGGTGCCCGGCAGATTTTTAGGGCAGAGTAATTCACAGTGTTTTATAGATGTTGACAAAGGATGTTGTGCTGCTGTGTCCTCTGCGCCGCTCCCCCCAAAGAGCTGGAGATTTCTGGGCGTGAGCTTGGCACAAGGCGCTCCTGGGTGGGCTTGTAGCTTCTGTACTTGTGCTCTGGGCCTCTGTGGAAAGAGCTTGCCGGCCCCGATCTGGAGCGTGTGAGGGCAAGCTGAAAGCCATGTAGGACTTCGTGGATCCCTCGCTCAGGGCTCCTCCTCGGCCGTCGTGTGCCCAGGCTGGCCGAAGTCGGCCTCCTGCAAAACTCTCCTTTGGTTTCAGGTGTTCATAATTGGAGTACTATGTGGATGCGCAGAGCTTAAGGTTTGATTTGTGCCCATACATTCTTAGTTGAAACTTTCAAACTGATTTAAAACATGTTTTAACTTTTTGCCTTTTTTTTTTTTTTTTTTAAATATGTTAAGAGAGCAAACGAGGCCTGGTTTGGTAAATGCTTGTAATCTCAGCATTAGGGAGGCTGAAGCAGGAAGATTTTGGTGAGTTTCAGGCCAGCCTGGGCTACATAGTGAGTTCAAGGCCAGGCTAAACACACAATAAGCCATATTTCAAAAGCCAAGAAGAAAGCAAACAAGTGTAAGGGCAAGATACTAACTTTGGTAATAAAAAGAACTCTTAAAAAAATAATAAGAAAATGGTTCCATTCAGTATTGTACATTTTTGTGTCCCAAATCATCCTAAAACATATTGGTTCAAATAGCAATCATTTGGGGCTGGGGAGATAGCTCAGCAGTTTAAATGCCTGCCTGGCAAGCGCAAGGACAGGAATTCAATCCTGTAGCCACTGACATTGGGTGTGGTGGTTCATGCCTATAATCCCAGCTCTGGGGAGGCTGAGACCGGAAGATCACTACAAAAGTCTGGACTGCGGAGTGAAGCGAGACCCTGTGCCAAATAAACATGTAAAAGATTTTTTTTTTTTTTTTTTTTTTGTATTTTAGGGAAGGGTCTACAGGGTGTTCAGGTTCTCACTACTAGATTGGACTTGTAGTGATCCATCTGTTTAGAGCTTCCCAAGAGCGGGGATCACAGGCATGAGCCACCATGCCCAGTCTCAATTGCCATCTCAGCGTTCCTGGGGGCGGGGTTGGCACATACAAGATTTTTAAAAAATAAAGTACTAGTTTATTTTTATTTTCAGATACTACTTTTATACTTAAGAACAACATGAGGGCACAGCAGTACAACTTGGGTAGGAATTTTTTGGGAGGGAGGGCAGCAATTGAACAATTTATTTTTTTTTATTTTTTATTTTTTAATTATTTATTTATTTTTACTTATTACATTTATTTATTGTATGTGTGTGTGGCCAGCTCAGCCCACCAGGGGGCGGGGCTGGCTGGCATGTGGTGCTGGGGGATCGAACCGCGGTCCCTGTGCTTTGCCAAGCTTGTTTCAAGTAGGTGCTTTAGACCACTGAGCCATCTCTCCAGCCCCAGCAATTGAACAATTTAAAATATTCTTTCTGCTGTGTCTTGAACTGTTGCTTGTCAGTCCAGCTATCGCCTTCCTCAGGAACCCTTCAGCCTCATAGAAAATTGTTCATCTAAATTCTTCTGTATATCTGAGTAGTGCTTCAAATGTTCTCACATTTGGTGGATTAAAAAAAAACAAACCTGTGTGGTAAGAGGGGAATGAATGATTACAAAGTGTCACGTTTGCCTTTGTTTTCTTTCTGGTTTTGTTGAGACAGGCTGGCACCGCGTGGCCCAGGCTGGCCTCGAACTCACAGTGATTCTTCTGCCTCAGCCTCCCACGGGCTGGGATTATGGGCCTACATCCCCGTGCCTGGCTAACACTTGAAAATCAAGGCCTGAGAATCCAGAATGATTCCTCTTCTTGTGCAGTGAATTAAGGATGGAGCCAGGCTAGGGTTTTACAGTTGTGACAGCTGGGAATCACTCTGGGGATTTCCTTAGGGAAATATGCATTGGAAGTATTTCTGCGAGACCAAAGAAAATTAACATCATTCATCTGTAAAAGGATAATGCTGTTTATTTTGTAGGATTGGTGTGCAGATTAGAGATTATGAATCTACCTGTTGAGTCCTGTGCTTTGAGCAGAGGAAGCACTTTGCAGGTGGGAGTGGCTGTTAGGCTTTTCCCAGGATTATGGAGCAATGTGAATTTTTTTTTTTTTTTTCAGAACCGGGGATTGAACTCAGGCCCCTGCGCTTGCCAGGCGAGCACTTATTCCACTGAGCCATCTCCCCGGCCCCAATGTGATTATTTTTGATTATTATTTTTGGTTATAGTAAAAAAAAGTCAGGATAGCAAGTCCCCGAATTAGCAACACTGAGGTTGCAAACTTTTACAAGAATGCTGTAAAAGGTTCAATTGTTGGCTCATGAACGAATCCGACTGAGTAACATTCTCTTGTAAACAGGTCGCACGTAAGTCAGGGACTTCCTGGACATTTCTTAATTTATCTTTTACAAAATAAGAAAAGGCTAAAGCACCGCATGTGTGTCTAGTGAACACAAGCCAGCTCCAAGGACAACAGTGTATCAGAGTCAAACAGAGCCAGCCCGCGCGCGCTCATGTTCATGTTGCAAGGTTTGTCATCGTCATGGTATCAGTTACTTTGGAAAATTCATATTCTGATTTTAAAATGGCTCAAAGGAAAAAAGCTCTTTTTTTAAAATATAAAATCAAGTACTGTATTTTAAAATGTACAGGTTATCCACACAGGAGCTGCACAGTGAAACCGCGACATCAAGCGGTTACATTCATAATGCCCAGCACTAAGGTTTGTACACGGCAATAAGTGACATGTGACAGTTACTTCATCATGTGATCACAGTTGCTGAGGATAGTAACTTTAATACCTTGGGGGATATGAATGCATTTTTAAAGCTTTGATACAATTGGTACCATTTAAAAAATATTGGATGAAACTTTTTTCCTTTTCTTTGGTGCTGGGAATTGAACCCAGGGCCTCGGTCATGCTAGGCGGGCGCCCCACCGCCAAGTTCTGAGTCCAGCCCCAAAGAAGCATTTGTAGGATGTATTTTAGGTAGGAAGTTTCCGTGCTGTGGTATCTTTGACAAAACAAAATCATTTTCTTTTCACTGAATAGAATAAGCTGGGCTGAAAGGAACCAGAAGCTGCTGAGAGAAAATATGAAATGTCCTGTTCATGTGTTCTGTTAAGGGTGAACATAATTTCCTTTCGATGAAAACAAACATTTTACTGGTATATATAATTTATACATACAGCATATATACATACACACACAGCATATCTACGTATCTACATATGGCATATATTATATATATATATGCACAGTATACTAAAATTCTAATGTAGCTGTAGCCCTTAGGTAATACTTGAACTGGGAAAAAAGTACGAATTGTACTCATCCATTATTTTTCTGCTTAGAAAACAATAGCCTATCAATTTCTAACATTTTAAAACAAGTATTGATTCTTTAAGGTCTTAAGATGAATATACTGGTACTCAATAGATTAGCTTCTTTTTTTTTTTTTTTTTTTTTTAACCAGGGATTGAACTCAGGCCCTCGCGCTTGCCAGGCAAGCGCTTCTTCTACTGAACCATCTCCCCGGCCCCATACATTAGCTTCTTTAAAAACGTTGCAGCTGTGGTTCATGTCTCCGCAAAGGCGTTTTTTATTCAGGTTTATTACAGCTAACTGAACAACAAATCCCACAGAGACTCTTTGCTGAGCTGATAACAGGGTCTTGGTTCACAGAGAGGACTACAAGACGGATTTATAGTAATTCTTAGAGTACCTTCCCTGAGCCAGGACTCGACCCCATTTAACTTTCTAGGTGCGAACACTGAGCACTGAGGGGCTGGCTGACCGGCCAAGTTAGCACAGAAAGCAGCGTTTCAATTTGTTTTTCGTGTGTTAATTTTATCCCTGGCCTGCTTTTTCTTTTTTCTTTTCTAAAAGTTCAATAGAGGGCGCTGGAGAAATAGGTCAGTAGAATAAGTGTTTCCCTGGCAAGTGCAAGGGCCCAAGTTCAATCCCCGGTTCTGGAGGAAAAAAAAAAAAAAAAGTTCAATAGAGCAGCTCTTCTGGGATTCCGAGCTTGCTTACAAGAGCCCTGCAGGTGCAGAGTAACGATGGTATTTATCAGCGAAAGACCTACTCGCGTTCCACAGTCTGCCCATGGCTGCTCGTGCAGGGAGCTCCTGTCTTTTTTCCAGGTGTCCAGATGATTGTCTCAGAAGGAGACCTGCTAAGTGACGAGGGCGTCCTTGCTTAAAATGTTATCCCTGCCGGCTTTTTAACAGCAGAACCAGCTATTTCAGCTTCGCCCGTCGGGCCGCCACGCTGCCCTGGGGCCTGGTGGCCGCGAAGGGCTTGCGCGTTGCGGGTTCGCCGCCGCCGCCTTCCAGGCCCAGCCGCCGCCGGGTGACAGCGCAGCGGAGCTGCGTACGGACATCCTCCGATCAAATTTCCAGCGAAAAAGGAGACTACTTGGAGAATAAATAGAATGGAAGCCATCCTGAATTTCCGATTTTATTTTTGAGCTCCCCCTCTCCCCCAAATGCGCCCATAACTGAGATCAGAGAAACGTCACGCCTTAGCTGTTCTTTTATTATTATTATTGTGATGATGAATTTTTTTTTTTTTTTTTCCTGAAGCGGGTCATCGACGGTCACGCCGATTCGCCTCCTCCCTCCGCGCTCGAGCACTTGGCTCCGTGCCGGGCGCCGGCAGCTGGCCGGGTCCCTCCTCGCGGTGGCGGTGGCGGTGGCGGCGGGTCAGGGCGGCCCCAGCGCCGGGCGCTGGATGGACGGGATGCTGCACGAGCGCCGCATGACCAGCCTGACCTCGATGTCGGGCAGCGTGTCCTGCCCGGTCTGCGAGCAGCCCTCGTCCGTGGCGGCCAGGTGCAGGTCAAAGCGGAGGGACACAGACTTCTTCCGCAGCCGCGGGTTGTCCTTGAAGAAGGAGCCTTCCCATTCCTTGATGACGTCGTCCACTTTCTCGGTCCTGCAGCGAGAGAGCGAAGCCTTCCGTGGGGAGGCGTGCCGCGCAACTCGAACAACTGTATGGCTTATAGCTTGTGCGATTTGTGACCGGCATCGGAGACTTTAAAAATCATAGGGATATAATTTCTGAGGAAGTCTGTGAAATGTACGCAGAATTCACACGTTCTGCTTTTATTTTTAGGAACAAAACCCAGTAAATTGGCTGACTGCTTGTGTATTTTTCATCCTATATATATTCATCTTGGCTTAAAAATCACAATATAAGCCAGGCACGGTGGTGTATGCCTGTAATCCCTGCACTTGGGAGGCTGAGGCAGGAGGATCTCTTGAAGTTCAAGGCCAGCCTGGGACAGAGAGTTAGTTCAAGGCCAGCCTGGACTACATAGGGAGACCCTGTCTCAAAAACCCCAAAACAAAATGAAACATAGTAGATTAAGTAAGCCTGCTTGGAAACAAAGATTTGTTACTGGGTTTATCTGAATGTAGTTCATTTCTTCACTTTCCTTATCCATTTTCTCTCCCTTTTTTGCTCTCTCTCCCCTCTCTGTCTGTTTTTTTTTTTAAGAATTTCTTTTTTTTTTTTTATAGATTTTTTAAAAAAACTATTTATTTATTTATGTGTGTGTGTGTGTGTGTGTGTGTGTGTTTGTGGCCAGCTCAGCCCACCAGAGGGCGCGGCTGGCTGGCATGTGGTGCTGGGGGATTGAACCGTGGTCCCTTTGCTTTGCTAAGCTTTTTCAAATAGGTGCTTTAGACCACTGAGCCATCTCACCAGCCCCTCTCTGTCTGTTTTTGAGACAGAGTCTGGCGTTGTAGTCCAGGCTGGCCTTGAACTCCCTGTGTAGCCCAGGCTGGTCTCAAACTCTCAGCCATCCTCCCGCCTCAGCCTCCTGAATGCTGGGATCGCAGGCACGCACCACTGTGCCCAGGCTGACGTTACTTGTCAGTCAGGGCTGTTTTACTTACTGGACGGTGCCGTGGGCCTCGGTGCTCTCCCTCACGACGTTTCCATTCACTGTCGCTTGCTTGGTTACCGTCTCCACTTTTTCATCCTCATACTTTTGTGAAAGTTTTGTTGAAAAAGAGATTTCATTTATGATCGCTGTGAAAATGTGATTGATGACAAATTACAACATGGAAGTCTGTTCCTGCTTACCTTATGTGTCAGATTTTCATGCAAATGTGACTTGCTTTTGCTACTTGGGAGAATCTAATTTCATCCTGGGATGGGACGTGTCACTGTTCAAACTGGCGCACTCAACAACTCACCTGAAGGTAAAACAAAGCCAACTCTACTGGTGGTAGGTTTGGGCTCCTTTTTCCCACCCTGGATACAACCGTAATACCTAAAAATAGAAACAATTGTACAGGAGCAACACTGAATTAGCGAGTAGTTAAAATAAGGAGCAGGGGTGACAAACCCGTGGCACGCGCGCCCTAGCGGGCCGTGTGTCACCAGCGAAAGCTCTGGAAGGGCTGGCCGTTCCTGGATTAGAGCAATCATACAGCGGCAAGTATTCCGCAGCGAGAACAGCTGAACGGTTACCTGCATGATGCCTCTGCTCAGTCTCCCAGCATCAGCTGCATGAGGAAGACAGCTGCAGCTAGCTTTATGAAGTTAAACTAGCATGCGAACCAGTTCTGGGCTTTGTCAGCGATGCCCGGGCAGCCAGGTATCAAGTACTGTAATGGACTGCACCAGACTAATGCACATCAAATTAAGGGTAGGCAGAGGCAGGAGGCTGTGCTCAGGGGACACAACACAGGGAACATATTCTTCTTTCTTTCTTTTTTTTTTTTTGTCGGAACCGGGGATTGAACTCAGGCCCTTGCGCTTGCCAGCCAAGAGCTTATTCTACTGAGCCATCTCCCTGGCCCTCTTTCATCTTTTTGAGGCAGGATCTGGCTATGCAGGCTGGCCTTGCGCTCACTTTGTAGAGCAGGCTGGTCTCGAGTTCAAAACAATCCTCCTGCCTCGGCCTCCCTGGTGCTAGGTTTACAGGTATGCGCTGCCAGGTTTGGCCGTATAATTTCTTAAACTAGCACAAGTGGGACCATGAGGGCTTGTTATGTTTTTCTCTTTTTCTTTTTCTTTTTTGGTGTATCTTAAGAGTAGCATAATTAAAAATTCAAATTTTATCATAGAAATATTTAAAGACCAATTTGTCAACATCTTGAATGATTAAGGATTAGGTAAGATTCACATTTTTCTCTTTTGGTTTTTCAGACAGGGTCTTGCTATGTAGTTCAGTTTGCTTTGAACTCACTGTGTAGCCCAGGTTGGTCTTGAATTTGGGGCGATCCTCCTGCGCCAGCCTCTACTGCTGGGGTGACAGGTGTCACCACCATTCCTGGCCACGTTGCTTATTTAATAATATGTAGTCATAGCAACATAGCCATACCTGCCTCTATATAGCTACATGTGGGACTCTAGCCATCCCTGTACGCCTACATCTACACAGCACGTGCAGTATACTAGCTACTATTTTAAGCGTTTTATAGATATTAGCTCCTTTAACCCTCAGCAATTCTATGAGGTAGGTAACATTTAATATTGTTGTTATTCCCATTTTGCAGATTAGGAAGTCAAAGGAAATTGAGTAATTTGAACGAGGTGACTCATCTAGTAAATGTTACATTTTTTTAAAATTTAATATTAAGGCCAGGGAGATAGCTCAGTAGACTAAGTGCTTGCCTGGCAAGTGCAAGGGCCTGAGTTCAATCCTGGGTTCCACCAGGAAAAAAAAAATGTTAAAGACTCGTCATTGACTAGAGTGGTTTCTTTCTTTCTTTTTTTTTTTTTTTTTAAAATATTT